CGAACTTTCATGTTATTAATGCTAGTCTGCCAGCCTTAATTCGATTCTGTGCTGGACTAGCATCTTGACTGCATTTATTGTAGAATTCTTTATCTTTCGCGTCAACTTTCGCTACTACAGTAAGGATGAGTAGGTTTATATTAACAAATGTATTTTTAATAACGAAGGCATCGAGCTTACGGGGCATCTGTTGGTAAGTGAGTACCGCAGCATGAAATGAAATGAAATTAATATTTATTGCTTAATATGGTTAAATTTATGGTACATATGTGGTTTTTAGAATAAGTTTTACACATTTCGTCATTTCTGACATGCAACAGACAACACAGATGTCAATAGGGAAATTGCAGATACTCATCTTAAAATTCCAAAATGCAAATATAATGACGACCTCGGTGGTCTAGCGGACACCGCGCTACGACCGATGGTCGCGGGTTCGATTCCTCGCACGGCACAAACATTTGTATTCATGAGTATGATTGTTTGTGTCGGTCTGGGTATTTTCTATGTATAATATGTATGTATTTACCAAAAAAATATCTATGTATATGTATCAGTTGTCTAGTACCCATAACACAAGCTTTAGCTAGCTTAACTTGGGTCTAGATGGCGCTGTGTGAATTGTCTTGAAATTATTATTATTATTCTTTATTTTTTCTCAGCTTTTGCTGGTTTTCTCCACACTTACGGGCCGAAACCAAGTAAGTGCAGAGTGTGTGTATGTGTGTGTGCGCGTGTGTGTATGTGCGAGTGTGTTTATTATTATTATTAGTCTCGCTAAAACTCGAGAATGGCTGAACCGATTGAAATATTCATGGAAGTCCAGGGAAGGTTTAAACGGCGATAAAATATGAACAAATTGCATGTACAGTAGTAAACAATTATATTTTCCCATACAAACCACTGACACCTGTCAAAAAGAGTGCGTTCAGAAATGTATTGCGTAACTAAACTTCAAAAAACCTTTGACATATTTAATTTTGAGACGGAACCGATTTCGCGGGGTCAGCTAGTACTAAGTACATAATTAACATATATTTCATAACTCGTTTACTAACATAATATGGATACCTATCCGAAATAAATAAATAAAATAAATAACAAATAACTTCGTACATTAAAAAAATATGTAGCTCAGATATTCAAAATTTTACAAATATTAGCTGTAAAAATTTTTTATTACTAAATAAAATAGCCATAAATTGAATTAATAAGTAGAATATATTCATGTATAAATAAATAAAAAATAATAAAAGTATGAATAAATAAGTAAAATCATCATCATCATCATCATTGCCTTGCCTTTATCCCATTATTTGGGGTCGGCGCAGTATGTCATTCTCTTCCACTGCTCTCTATCGGTCGTCATATCTAAACATACTCTTCTTTTATTCATATCATCTTTCAATAAATAAGTAAAATATAGTCAATAAATTATTATAATACGTACATAAGTGTTTGCTTGTCACTGCTCGTGACAATCCACTCACGATGGACGATAAAAGCCGTTTAGTTCCGGGAATGGCTAAATATATATTTGAATTCCAAAATCGTATAGGATTAATTCAAATGGAATCATAAATTACTGAAGTTGTTGGTTTATTTATAATATTAATTTATATTTATAGATCGACATACAAGTATATTAAATTCCGGGTAATATAATATATAAATTTGTATGTAATAATAATGCTCTTAAATTTAGCATTGTAACTGACAAAATCACGCTGTATTTTACGAGTATTTTAACATTAATATAAAGTACTAAAATAGTTTTGTTGTAAATAGAATAAATACATAAATTAATAAAATTATATTTTATAATAACATTTATTGTTATTTACAATTTATAATTACATTTTATAAGACAATATTAGATATCTATAATATTTAATAATACAATAGTATTCTATAACTCAATATTTACAAATAGGTATTTTTATTCCTTATTAATTAGAGCATTTGAAAAAGCTATTTAAATGCTAAATTTCAATTAACATTAATAATTTTTTAATCCATAATACGGTTTTGATGCCCATTCACATTTTAATATTAAATTAATTTATTACAACCTCTTGTTAAAGTTTTATCTAATTTACTTGCTATTATAATAATTATAATTAATTACAATAATCAATAGGACTGCTTATAGCATACTTTAAGTATTAAAAAATATAATTTTCAATTTTTTTTAATTATAGAAGAGAGAAATTTTAAAAGATAATGAAATCAATTATGTACCACAGACCTATCATTGTCATTGCATCTAAAAAGTCATTTTGAAATCATAGTAATAAGATTTGAAATAGAATAAATGTAGAAAAATTCTTAATTCAAATAAACTTAATACACTTTTGAAAAGTCATATTTTTTATTCTCACACTCATTCAGAACACAGACGCATCACAAGAAGAACGAGCAAGAATCTTGCGTGTTGCTCAGATATATATTTTTTTTAATTTTATTATGAATACATACGACCACATAGCAAAGTTGACATAAATAAATGAATAGTTACTTGAGTAACAAAATAAATCAGTCATAGTTATCATACGGTTTGTATAATCTGCCCATGTTAAATAGTAGTTGGTCTAGCTTTTTTTTCGTACTTTAATGCTGTTGGCCGCAGCCGGCCTTTACAGCTTCACTGGACGATAGGGGGCGAGTGCAGATGGCACTCCAAATCAAGGAAGGACTTATGGAGCGGCTGAAGGCCAACTCCCGCCTGACGGATACGACTTTAGTCTGAGGGCACCGCTAAGGTTTCAAACCTCGGCTCAGGCCGTCGTAATACCCAGTTTGAATTGGACGGGGGATCGATCGGAAGCTGTATTAAAACCTCAAATAAAGATATTAATATCTGTTTTATTTAAATAATTATGAATGTATGAGATAACAAAACAGCGTGTCAACTAATCTCTCTAATTAGTCTCAATATAGCCTAATTAGTTTTGACTTTTCGAGTCGTATTTTGTACCTACATAAAATTTATGTCTAACAAGTTTCAAAGACTTAATTGCTTGTTAAAGAGGGTTGGTTTTTAACTTCTTCTTGTAAGATATAATCAATTAATTTAATAGTTTAGTGTTCATATGTGTAAATTGAAGTACTTGCATCAAGTGTATCTACAAAAAATATAATTTAAATATATATGCATGACGACCTCGGTAGTCTAGCGGTTTAGCACATTGCTTTGTGTCCGATGGTCGCGGGTTCGATTTCTCGCACGGTATAAACATATGTATTCATGCGTATGATTGTTTGTATCGGTCTGGGTGTTCTTTATGTATAATATGTATGTATTTATGAAAAAAAAATATCTATGTATTTGCATCAGTCATCTAGTACCCATAACACAAGCTTTAGCTAGCTTAACTTGGGTCTAGATGGCACTGTGGGAATTGTCCTGAAAGTATTATTATTATATGTAAACATAATTCGTTGAAACTAAACTAGCGTTTTCTAAATTCTAGTGGTCTCAGATCAAATTAATAATTAACATTTAGTTTAACGAATTAGTCAATAGTAGTTCATATGTAGCTCAGGAAATTGTCACAATAATATGTATTGACAATTTCAATATCAATCAGTGACCTTTTGAACTTTAATAGTTACTAGTAACTTCATTATACCGAATTATGTAAAAATTAATTCGTTGAAATTAAACTGGCGTTTTTTTTAATTTCTAGTAGTCTCAGACCAAATTAGCAATAAGTTCATATGTAGCTCAGGAAATTGTCATAATAATATATTATTATTTTTTAGAGAGTCATTGATTGATACTGAAATTATTGGCAGTTTCATTATCAATCACTAACCCTTTGAACTTTAATAGTCAACCATTATACTGAATTATGTAAAAATTAATTCGTTGAAAATAAACTGATGTTTTTTAATGTCTAGTGGTATCAGACTAAATTAGCAATAAGTTCATATGTAGCCTAGGAAATTGTCACAATAATATATATTACTTTCATTTTTTAGATATTCATTGCTTGATATTGAAATTATTGACAGTTTCATTATCAATCAATAATCATTTGAACTTTAACAGTCAACTTCGTTATGTCAAATTTGTTAAAAAGTAATGACTATTTCGACTTCATAATTTGAAATTGTTACAACTAGTAGACAGAGACATTTTAAATTCTTTAGTCTCAGAATAGTTATAAATTTTGTGGTGACAATTTTGACTTCACAATATCGAAATTGTCACACAGTTTATTGACAATTTCTGGATGATACAAGCGACAAAAGGGCATTGCGTCAGAATATAGTGGAGTGTGATTTTCATATACTTATATTTTCTAATTACTCAATCTATGTAACCTAATATTTTCAGAATGGACTACCCTAGCGTTATAAAACAACCCTTAATATTGTGAAGAACTCTGAAGGTTTCCAAGCATTAAGGCTTTTTAAATCTTTGCCAAACTTTAAGACAATAAACGATTGGAAATTTTAAAGGGCAGATTGCATTCTTTTCTGTAGGAACAATGTTGTAATATTATAAAATTTATTACCAACTAAAATTGTACAACTTAATAATTTCAAAGAAATATGAATGTGGATGTATAAGGACAGGGGAAGGCCAAAAAATTGATGGATTGTGTGAAAGACGATATGGTAAGTAAGGGAGTAAATATGGAGATGACTGGGAACAGAGATGAGTGGAAGAGAAAAACATATTACGCCGATCACAGATAAATGAGATAAGGAAGAAGCAGCTGATGATAATAATTTTGAATATAATGTAAATTATTACTAAATAATGTAATAATAAGAAAATGCAACTAATAACTGCTGAAATACGTAAAGATCTATGTTACTATTTTCATTGAGTGAGTTCTTATATGATAATCTTTTAGTGAACCGTCATGCATCATAAAACTCTCCAAACCTCAAGTTATATAACAAAATTATCACGCAGCGTGACTTAATATTAACCTTTATTTTATGGACTATATACAGGGTGTATTTTTTACAATTGGTCTCATTACTTATATACAGCTCTCCTTGACTTTTCTGGCGGTGGTGACCACTTCCGGTCGGGCGCGCGCCGCAGCGATGTCCGCACTCCGCGCACACACCCCTCGGTTTACCATCGATATACTTGATGAGGACTGACCATAGAAAATAATAAATTAAAAGCAATCTATACATATAAATAAAATTTGAGTGTCTGTTTGTAATATTGAAATAACCGTTTTTGACTACATGCATATGAATATAAATACGGTACATACACCAAAATATCATTTTTATACAATTTTTGTTTTTCTTTTGTTCCGGCTAATCTCTGAAATGCCTGGACCAATTTTGATGGGACTTTTTTGGCAGGTAGCTGATGTAATAAGGAGTAACTGTGGCTTTTATTTTAGAAAAATATTGGGGGGTAAAGGTTTGGCAGTACTGAGAACTGATACCGCCATTGCTAACATCGAACCATGTCAAGTTAACCGCCATAAGGTTCTCCCCAGAAACGATCATTATAAATTTTTCGCGGTAGACTAACTGACTTGACCTCTTGTTCATCTTATCTTCTCCTTCATCCATGGTGCCCCACCAGCATAAATCGTTAGCGCAAGCGAAAGCACCATTTCATTCATATTTTTTTAAAATAAATATCAATATTGGTTAAATAGTCAAAACGAAAGAAATATATAATTATAGTGGGTTGTTAATACGTAAACAGTTAGTACCTTGTCACAATGACATTATTGATAGTGTCTAGCATTATTTACGTATTACCGATATTTCTTTATTGCGACAAGGTACAAAAGTTTTCGCATATCATAATCGTGTATAAATACTTACTGCAGTAGTTGGAAAGTTTGTTGTTCGCTCGCTGGTTTCCCCGTAGGGATTGAACATAGCCTCTGGGCTGGGCAGCTTGTTGAATTCGTTAGCCAACTTCCTGTCTGAAACATGTAATGGTTACAATCGATATGCAGTGTTTTACACGCTTTTATTTCTCTTACAACAGTTCGTTACTATGTTTTGTATAGCATAGAGGACAAGATGACAAATGGTAAGAAAGGAAGTAAATAACGCGATGACTGCGAACAGGGATGAATGGAAGCGAAAAACATATTACGATGACCACAAATAAATGGGATAAGGAAGAAGCAGATGAATGAGAGGACAAATGGTCTTGCGGTTCAGTTGATGGTAAGTGATTACCGTCGCCCATGCCGCAACACTACGAGAATTGCAAGTGTGTTGAAAAAGACCAAACTGAATCTGAAAATCTTATTTCTCACATAGGGACCGGCATTTTTTTATTGTTAATTACGTATATTATTTTTTAAGTATGTTTTTAATTTGAGGTAGACATTACTTAACCCCTAGATTTATTTCAATTAAAGTACCCACGGGTGATAGCCCGGTCCAAACGTGTAAATTTACTTTCGTTGCGGAGTGACCTACTGGTCTGGTTTGTGGTCTTCAACGTATTAAGAAGGAATAAGTTCTTTTCTTAAAGATTTCAGTATCGCTGGAAATACTATCGCTGGAAGGTGATTGTGTGTGGCAAAAACACTAGAACGTGTATTCAATATCTATTTCTATCTCCAAAGTTGTCATTCATCATTCCAAAGATGTCAGAGAGGTTAAAGAGTAATCGTCTATCGTGGTATGGGCATGTAATGCGTAGGAATGAAGATCATGTCCTAAGGACGGTGTTACATATGAATGTGGATGGTTATAAGGGTAGAGGAAGACCGAAAAAGAGATGGATGGACTGTGTGAAAGATGATATGGTGAGAAAGGGAGTACATAACGGAATGACTGCGAACAGAGATGAATGGAAGAGAAAAACATATTACGCTGACCCCAAAGAAATGGGATAAGGAAGAAGCAGATGATGATGATTTCCAAAGTTGCATTAGCAGGCGGCTCATACTAGATTTGTCTGGCTAGGAAGAGAAATACGAGCGGTGAAGGTGAGTGCTGACGTAGGTCAGCAAGGGGCTATAGATATAAATATACCAAGGGAGGTACTGAACCCACGATCATTAGAAGTAAGGCAGCACACCAAACCGCTAGATTACAGACGCCGTCTAAAATTTAAACTCATAATTTTCGTCAGAGACCTTCAAAGTTCCTAAGCTGGCGAATTGAGACCGCTAGTCTGACACCGTCTAAAATTTGTACTCACAATTTTCGCCAGGTTTATTCAAAGTTCTTAAGCTGGTGAATTCAGCGACTTTAATAATATGTTAGTAAATTATGTACCAAGTTTTTCCTCAGTCGTTCACTTTTGGCAGAGTGGTCGTGGCTTTTATGATGGTATATCTTGTGGTATGGTATCGGTCTATGGCGACAGAGCTCCTTGCAATTTGTCTCCACCAGATAGTATGTACAATGTATAAAGAATAAAAGAAATTTCAATGTCTATTACTTTAGCTATGAAGGAACTTATTACAACGACAAACTCAATAATGCATTTTCATTCGCGGAGCCGCAAAACTAAGTCGTATCAAGTAGAAACTCAATCTTAAAATTTTAAATGGACGGATTCAAATTTACCCCTTACTCTTTATTCTAGAGAAGTTTTAAAGTAATACGCTTTAAATTTTATCGATAGTTTAAATTTAAATTCGATAACTTATTCGACGAGCTCGGTTGTCTAGCGGTTTAATACGCCATCTTAATTCCGATGACTGTGGGTTCGATTCCCAGTGGGATGTAAAAGTAAATTTCTCGACAACCCGAGAAGCCTTGAGAATTCTCGAGACCCGAGAAATTGAAAAGCTATATATAAATAGAAATACAGTACAAACAATTGTATTCATAATTAAGATTATCTGTATCAGTCTGAATTGTATTTTCTGTGTTCATTATGTATATATTTCTTATTTTACTCCATTTTTCTTTTTTTTTCTTACCTTCAATTTGAGGCTGTGCTTATAATTTAATTATCAGATAATTAAGTATTTATTTATATATGATATTTATCTTTATATATAAAAATTTCGTGTCACGTTGTTAGTCCGCGATAGACTCCTAAACAACTGAACTGGTTGTAAATTTGATTTGCAGATTGTGTGCAATTTGATCCAACTTGAAAGATAGGATAGCTTACATCTCAATTTATAGTCGCAATATTATTCAAGAACCTTAGCCACAGGAACACGTGGCCGGGCCTGCTAGTATTCATATAGATTTATGTATGTATATTTTTTTATAGGAATTTATATATATTTCGCTTTAAATTTTTATAACATTTCTCATTTATATTAGTACACCGCTAATAATCTCTGCACGACTCATGATTGCCTGGTAGTTGCAAGGTGTTAAGTCCGCCATATGTGCATTGAAGTAAAATATATATATATATATATATATATATATAAATATCCCCTTGGGCACTTTGTGGCTCAGACGTGCCGTATAGGTAGTTTTTTGTTGATCCATTTTCACTTGTTGATCCGGAGGCCTTTTGTTGATCTAATGCCAGATGACCATATATAAATGTTGATCCGTTTTGAGCCACAACTGTCACGACGAGTAATAATAATAATTAAGCGATTTATACACGATTTTATACAAATCCACCTTTTTGGCATACGAGCAGTTCTTGATCCAATTCAAACGGGCCAATCAGGGTGCAGCATTTGCCAAGGGCTTCCTCATTGGCACGTTTGGGCTACTACATTATGGCTACAGTAACTTAATAATGTCTAGCTAGTATTTCAAAAATAATAGTCTACCTAATCTAAATATTTATAGAAATCAGTCTGGAGTAACGTGACTCCAGATCAAACCTCAATACTTGTTATTTTTTGGATGGGAATCTTTTCTTTTGTAACAACGTTACTGAGCGAATAAAGAGAAGACGCAACGGCGGATCTAGGGGGGAGCGTCATCGAGGTCATGGGAGTCATGGGGGCGTCATGACTCTTCCCCCCCCTTAGCCCAGAACTTAGGTAGACCACTAATTGAACTAAAAAATAATGAAACAGCAAATTTTTTTTGCACGATCGGAGTGTTGGTGCAGTAGTATTAATTATAATTAAACATTGTTACTTAAAACATAACAGTTAAAGTACTATAACACTAAAAGCAAAATAGGTATTTTCAAAATACTTTTTCAAAATAAATTACCCTTTGAGTTTTTGTTCAAACCTCAGATATTATATTTATTTTAGGTATATCAATCAATACATAGTATAGCATAGTACAGTCTGTCTGTCTGTCTGTTTGTTCCGGCTAATCTCTGAAATAGCTGGACCGATTTTGACGGGACTTTTTTTGGCAAGTAGCTGATGTAATAAGGAGTAACTTACGCTACTGTTATTTTAGAAAAATAAAATAAAATTTCACGCGGACGAAGTCGCTGGGGCCAGCTAGTCTATAGATATACCGAGATTTAATGTTTAAGTTGCTATTATGTTGTTGACAAAATTTTACTGTAATGTTACTATTACGTTATCCTACACAATTTGTATTATTTTGGATGAATAAATAAATAAATAAATAAATAATAATCTATACATCTATACATTTAATAAAAATTGGAGTGTCTGTTTGTAATATTGAAAAAACCGTTTTTTACTACATGCATATGAATATATATAAGGTACATATACCAAAATAACTATTTTTATAATTTTAGTCTGTCTGTCTGTTTGTTCCGGCTAATCTCTGAAATGGCTGGACCGATTTTGACGGTACTTTTTTTGGCAGGTAGCTGATTTATAAGGAGTAACTTAGGTTACTTTTATTTTAGAAAAATAAAGTTAAATTCCACGCGGACGAAGTCGCGGGAACACCTTGTTTTTAATAAAAACATCTTTTTTGTGGTACTTGAGAATGTTGAAGCCTGTTGTTTGTAATATTGAAATAACCGTTTTTTACTACTTGCATATGAATATAAATACGGTACATACACCAAAATAACATATTTTACAATTTTTGTCTGTCTGTCTGTTTGTTCCGGCTAATCTCTGAAATGGCTGGACCGATTTTGACGGGACTTTTTTTGGCAGGTAGCTGATGTAATAAGGAGTAACTTAGGCTACTTTTATTTTAGAAAAATAAAGTTAAAAACCACGTGGACGAAGTCGCGGGAACAGCTAGTGTATAATATATTAGAGATACCTACGTGTTTTTTTATTGATGACTAGCTGTACACGGGATTTCGTCCGTGTTGAATTTAACTTTATTTTTCTAAAATATAAGAAGTTAAATTCCACGCTAGTCTAGCGATTTAGCTAGCACACTGCTTTGATTCCTGCTTGGTGGTCGAGGGTTCGATTCCTCGCACGCTGCAAACATTTGTATTCATGAGTATGATTGTTTGTAACGGTCTGGGTGTTTTCTATGTATAGATAATATATATGTATTTACGAAAAAAAATCTTTGTATTTATATCAGTACCCATAACATAATCTTCAGCTAGCTTAACTTGGGTCTAGATGAAGCTGTGTGAATTGTCCTGAGATTACTATTATTACTATAATAAATCTTTTCAAATCAGCCGATGTTTATTTTTGCCATAATACGTGCTGTTACCATGTGATAATATTACGTACGTACTTATTAAACTATTAACTTATTATTAAATTATTAACTATTTATACTGTTTTAAATGTGATGCGTTCATTATTTATATTTCCTTTGAATTAAAGACAAATGTATATATATATATATATTTATATACACTTGCACACTTAGTTGATCCAGCCACGATCCGTAGATATTGCTGATCCACTGTCTCTCTCTTTCTATCACTATCTTATTATTCTAATATGCGATGTTGCCGTTCCGGCCGAGACCATGCGTTGTTGCCAAATGTATTCGTCGATAGTAGTAGATACTTATACTCGATATATATTTTTTCAACAATTTCCTGCAATAGTGAATCCGTATCGGCATTTTTTTTAAATGCACAAAGATTTTTTAGCTCTGAATATAT